GCGGAGTGTCACGTGCCGACACAAGAGGAATAAAGATAATGAATCTTGGAATTAAGTTAATAAATTCGAATGAAAAGAACTTATTTCCCAAATGAGTATGATATGGAGGCTTGAGTCCTCATGAGTGTACTTGACGTTATTTATCGAAGATTCTTGTACATGTTGTTGCTACAGATTGAGTATTGTAGTTGATTTATGATATGATCTGATATACATTGTTTTCTACTTTGAGTTGGCCGATGATATCTACTCAGTACCCGTGTTTTGTACTGACCCCTACTTGTATGTTTCTTTCTTTGTTATATGTGGAGTGCAGCAAACATACCGTCGTCTTCAACTCAACTGCAACTCTAGCCAGTCTTCATTACTCCGAATTTCAGGGTGAGCTAATGCTTCTAGCTTGGACTGGATCTTCCTCTTCATGTCTTGATGCCTTGAAGTTCCGGCATGGACTAGCTTTTTATGTATTTTAGCTTCTTAGATATTCTTAGATTAGTAATTTGAGGATAGATGTTCTTTTGATGATGACTTCCAGATTTTGGGGATAATAATAATTTGAGTTTTAGAAGTTATTTAATTGATTTTCATTAATGAGTTTAAGTCTTCCGCATTATATTGTGTTATTATATTCGAAATGTTGGGTTTTGTATTGATTGGTTCGCTCACATAGGAGGGTAAGTGTGGGTGCCAGTCGCGGCCCGATTTGGGTCGTGACACAAACACATCAACAACTTTTTTTTTAACTTCAACACTTTTATCCAAACGCATAACTACTTATTTTAAAAATAAGTTTCAGCACTTTCAAAAGTACTTTTTTAAAGCTGCTTTTATTAAGCCCGTCCAAACGGGCCCTAAATCAATCCAAACTCCCTTTTTATCTCTGTTTATCATAGTGCTAAATAGTGTTAGACAGAGGTGGATAAAGTTAGTAAATAAGTTCGCCTTAATACTAAGTACGTGTAACTTGAGTAGTATGTAATAGGACCACACAAAAAGTTGAAATAAAATATCTTCTGTATTTGTAAAAGCATGTGATTTACCGGTGCATAAGTTGATCAGTTAATGTATTGAGCATCCATCAAAGAGATACAATGCAGGTTGATGTTAAAAAAATTTTTGGGTACGACAACAACAATTATATTCCACGTTACTGTTAAAAAGACAGTTAAGCTATTTAAATATTACTTTATTAATTATTATATGTATAAATATAATATTAGTTAACTCTAGTTAACAATAGATCCTTGTAGTTAAAAAAATAACACATGTCATTTATTTATTCAATGAATGTATACATGCGGTGCGGGTAAGTTTTTCCCCCTAGTTGTTTGTTTGATGCTTTGCTTTCTGATTCCGAGGCTTGGGGATGAATAACATGTTTGTTATGATTCCTTGAAGTGCTCTATTTGTGTAAATTGTTGGTTTATTAATGGTAATCTTTCACAATTTACCTAAAAAATAAATTTTAAAATATATTAGGCAAGATCATTAATTATATTTTAGTTTTTGATAATTTTTTCATTTCTTTTTCATTAAACCTTAAATTGTAGCTTTAAATAAATACTCAATTTATAGATGGAAAAGAGGGTAATTTTTAAGGTGTTTCATTTCTTTAAAATTACTCACCATCTTTTTTAATGATAAAAATTAGGACAGTAATAAAGCTTCACACATCAATACTGATGAACTAAAATATGCAAATGAAGAAGTTCGTTAAGAGTCTACAGAGAATTTAAATTGATATTTTAAGAAGGAATCTTAATTGTGACTGTGACTCACAATTTGTGAATGAGTTGACCTTTTGCAACGGTAATATACTCTATTGTATTTCAAATTAATTATCATATTTTATTTTACGAGAATCAGAAGTATGTTATTATAGTTTTTTTATTGTGTTAACATGAGAAAAACTATAATTTATATTATTTTTTATATAATTATTATTGTTTTGATCTATTCAATTGATTCTCACCATTAAGTAAAATAACTCTTCATAAACAAAGAGAGTAGTGGATAATGCAAATAATCAAGAGGGGGGGGGGGGGGGGATAATAATACATAATTATTGAATTTCCTTGTTTGAAGATGAGTTTAAAAGAATCTATTTTGGCTTATTGAAATTTTAGGTGGCAACTTGGAAAAAATATTGAAATTAAACGTTTGAGAATCCAACTTGAGAAATTTAAATTTTATATTCTACGTGGCGTCTTACATATATTATGTCATTAATGTGTATCTATCATTATCATGTACATAAGAGTTGATTTTAATAACAACTTTCACATATAATAAACATAAAAAATCACATTTTTGTATGTTATAGCTATAATATGTATAATTGAGTTCGGAGCCTAAAGGGTATAAAATGTTAACAAAAATTCCAAAATGGTATATAAAATTTTATATTAACCAAAATGGCAAAATCGCTAGAATAACAGCGATTTCCTCCGTTGGAAAAAGTAAAATCATTGCAGTAGCAGTAATTTTGCAAAATGTAATTTTTAAAAAAAAATTAAAAAAAATCGCTGCCTAGGTATCAATTTTGTTGCAAAAAAGATTTTTTTTATTGCAAAAAAATGAATCGCTGCCAAGGCAGCGATTTTTAAACAATATATATTTTTTTAATATAAAACACTTCTGCTGGAGCAATTAGTTCAAAATGTTACTTTTCAAAAAAGGGAATACTTTATACATTTAATTCATTTACCTTTTTTTTTTCAACTTAGAATTTAGTCTTTTCTAGTCCAACAATACTACCTACCTAACAAAAGAGGATCCCATTGAAGAGGGCAAGTGAATTGATGAAATTATTAAGGGTGAAAAGTGAAAACATGGAAAATTACCAAGCAAAATAAAAAAAAAAGTGAAAACATGGGAAATCACCAAGCAAAATAAAAACAAAAAGATTTAAGATAAATCGAATAATATAATGGAGTAAAACGATATTTTATTTTATATATATATATATATATATATATATATATATATATATATATATATTGCCTTAGTTAGAATCGAAATGATTATATTTATAACCATATCTAAACTAAAGTATGTAAGACTTCATGAATCAAAACATGTTATAATTTATTTTGATAAAAGACGATATAGTAAAACTCGAGCTCTGAATCTCAAGCACGTGAAAATTCTTCTGATAATAAAAAAAAAACTACAAGTTCGAACAAATTAAATTTTCATGTAACTTCCGTTGTTTGTCTGATTCATCCTCCATGGATTTTTGGTAAATAATCGAATGGACAATATTCTATACCAAATAGGAAATTTTGTCAAATCGCTTCAGGTGGAGCGTTTTAGTAAAAAAAAATTGTGAAATCGCTCCAACTGGAGCGTTTTATTAAAAAAAATTGCAACAAAATCGCTGCCTAGGCAGCGATCTTTTTATTTTTTTTAATTGAAAAGTAACATTTTACAAATTGCTCCAACAGGAGCGTTTTATTTTTTTTAAAAAAATATCGTTTAAAAATAGCTGCCTTAACAACGATTTCATTTATTTAAAAAAATAATATTTTTGCAACAAAATCGTTGCCTTGGTAGCGATTTCTTTTTTTTAAAAAAAATTGCAACAGAATTGCTGCCTAGGCAGTGATCTTTTAAAAAAAATCACATTTTGCAAAATCGCTGCAGTAGCAGCAATTCTGCTTTTTCAGGCGGAGGAAATCGCTGTTATTCCAGTAATTTTGCCGTATTGGTTAATATAAAATTTTATATATCGGTTTGGAATTTTTGTTCATATTTTATACCATTTAGGCTCCAGACTCGTCATAATTGCGCTCCATAACAAACTTTATGTTTACTATGGCTATTAATAGGTATATTTTGTTATACATGTAGAAAAGAAACATTGTATAATCTGTTTCGGTATAAATATACAAAAAAATCAATTGTATAATCTGTGTTTGTATAAAGCGAGAAAGACAAAACAAAATTGGGAATGAAAGATCTGTATTTGTATAATCTTAAGTGTATAAGACGAAAATATATGTATTTGTATTTGTATATACAATTTTCTCTCACTTTATACAAACACAAACATAATTTATACATTTGTGTTTGTAAAAAGTGAGAGAGGCGAGTGAGAGTGGCGAGCGAGATCAGGGAGAGGGGAGAGAAGGAACGAAATGATATGTATATATTTAATTTTCTCTCGCTTTTACAAATACTAGCACATTTTACACATTTGTATTTGTATAAAGTGAGAGAGGCGAGGAGAGACTGTCAAGCGAAATGACAACACTTTACTACGAGTTACAATTAAATCAAACTATGATTACAACATTTAATTTAAATTAACAGTTTACTATTTTATACAATTTTTCCTACTTTAATAATGTTTTTTTTTCATTAAAATTGATTGACTACTCCTCAATGTTAACTTTTTATCATATTTTTATTATGGGAAAAGGTCATATTTGCCCTTGTACTCTTAAAAAGGGGTTATACTTACCCTTTGTTATACTTTTTGATTATATTTGTCCCTACCATCCAACTTTGGGTTTATATTTACCCTTTGGGTTGTTAAGTTCCACATCACCCTTTTTTTTATCCTATGTGTCTTCTACATGGATATAATACTTTCTAATTTAATTATTATACCTCATCTCCAAAGAATTGAAAGGAATAAAGTGAAAATATTTTCCAATTATTTCCAAAAATTTGGCTATCCGAGATATTTAAACACAATCTGCAGCTTCTCAATAACCAAGGCGGTGACTTCACCATCTTTTTTGTACTATATAAACGATATCACTAAACAATTGATCTCCAGACCTACCTACCGCCGTTTACTCTTTATTCATCAAAAACTTGAGAAATTGGAAAAGAGATGAAAATTTTTGGGAAGCATTTGGCGTGAGCCGTGAGAAAAGATAAATCTATCATATTTATGATATGAAAAATATTGCCTACACCGCCAAGCCCATGGCTTCCAATTATTCCTCCCTTTCCATACAATTTTTTTCAGTTATTTTTTTTTCAGAAAAAAGGAGTTATGAGATTTAGAGATTGTCATATACCACTTACAAATTTAATTGGAGTGATGATAAATTTCTTATAGCCATTTTATTTCTGAGATCTTATACATATAATTTTTTTTAAATAGAAAATTTTTGTGGGAAATGGAAAGGAATGAGGAATTTGGGAAGCTTCTGGCATGGCTGGAATGAATTTTGCCATCCAAATGTTTAAACACGTTAGAAAATATTTTTTTACTTGATTAGTTCCAATTCTTTGGGGTGAGGTGTAAATAAAATTTGAGAAAATTATATTCAAATATGAGCCATGTGGAATAATAAAAGGGAGTGATGTGGAACAAAACAACCCAAAGGGGTAAATATAAACCCAAAGATGGATGGTAGGGGCAAATATAACCAAAAAGTATAACAAAGGGTAAATATAACTCTTTTCTAAGAATACAGGGCAAATTAAGACCCTTTTCCGTTGTTATATATCATTTTCTTTGTTAAAATAATTTTTTTAAGTGTGGGGCGGAGCAATACATAAGTTAATTTTTTAAAAGGGGAAATTGTATATAATAGCAAACTAATAACCTAAAATAAATGGAGTAGCTAGGGTTTGATTTAATTGTGCTCCATAGCAAACGTTTGCAAAAAATTGTCAGACGCCTCTCTCCCAAATATCTCGCTCGCCACTCTCCTCCAATCTCTCCCTCGCTTCCTCACTTTTTATACAAACACAAGTGTATAAAAATTGTTTTTAATTGTATAAAGCAGAGAAAATTGTATAAATACATATATTTTTGTTTCCCTCTCTCCCCTCTTCCAGATCTCGCTCGCCACTCTCCCAAGTCTCGCTCGTCACCCTCACCTTTCTCGCTTATACAAACAGAAGCAAAATGTATAAATTATGTTTCTGTTTTAATAAGGTGTGAGAAAATTGTATATACACATGCAAGTACATATATTTTCGTCCTATACACTTATAATTATACAATAAAAATACTCCTCTGCCCAAATTCTTTTGTCTTTCTCTCTTTCTCGTTTTATACAATTTTCAAATTATATCTAATTTCTCTCTTTCTCGTTTTATACAATTTGATTCAATTGTATATTCCTTGTCAAGTCTCTTTTGTCTTTCTCTCTTTCTCATTTTATACAAATTCAAATTGTATATAATCGTTCTATACACTTATAATAATATAATTCGTTTTATACAATTTGTTTTTATACAATTCTCTGCTCAAGTGTCTTTCTCTTTCTTGTTTTATACACTTTGTTTTATACAATTTGCTTCAACTGTATATGTATAGCGAATTATACAGTTTCTATGTTTGCTATGGAGCGCAATTATGCAAACTTTGTTATAGCATACAAATATAAATTTTTTATTTGCTATATGTGAAAGTTGCCCATTATAAAATAGTAATAGAGCTGGTAATGAAAAAAAATAATAAATAATGGGGAAATTTTTACAAATAGTCATTATAGGAAATTTAATTAGGTTTCTTAGTTATTATTTATCTAATAACGCCACATAGTTATAGTTTCAATAGTTATGGAATATGGATTTTTTTGTTTGTATACTTCACATGTATTTATATAATATACAATGCGTTTTTCAAAATTTTTAAATAAATACATAGTTATAATTTCAATAGTTATGAAATATGGATTTTTTTTGTTTTTATACTTCACATGTATTTATATAATATACAATGCGTTTTTCAAAATTTTAAATAAATTTAGGCGGTAGCTTCGATGAAAAAAGAGAAAACAATATCATAAAGGGAAAATTGTATATAATAGCAAACTAATAACCTAAAATAAATGGAATAGCTAGGGTTTGATTTAATTGTGCTCCATAGCAAACGTTAGCTAAAATTTTCCAGCATCTCTCTCCCAGAAATCTCGCTCGCCACTCTCCATTCTCGCTCGCCTCTCTCGCTTTATACACAGAAGTGTATAATTCTGTTTCTGTTTTGTATAAAGCGAGAGAAAATTGTATATACATGTGCAAAAATATATATCTTCATGTTATACACTTAATTATACAATTTACAAACATTTTTCTTCAAATATTACAGAGAAAAAGGCCAACGAATTATACAATTGCGAATTATACAATTGCAGTGAAATACAATTTTCTCTAGCTTTATACAACAGAAGTGTATATATTGTGTTTCTGTTATTGTATAAAGCGAGAAAAACATATATCTTCTTGCTATACACTTATAGTTATGCAATATACATAGGCCAGCAAATTATACAATTTAGGCCAGCGAATTATACAATTTAGGCCAGCGAATTACACAATTGTATATGTATAGCGAATTATACAGTTTTATGTTTCCTATGGAGTGCAATTATGCAAACTTTGCTATAGCATACAAAAATGGATTTTTTGTTTGCTATATGTGAAAGTTACCCTATCATAAATCACTCGATTATATCTCACTAGAGTTTTATACCAAATTCGACTCTCCTTACTAACAATTGCTCATTATCAATTGTTTTGTATTTATATTTATATATATTAACAAATATGAGTTAGATACTGTCTTTACTGGAAATGTACACCGTTCATATTTATTTTTTGAATAGTTATCCAAAAGTTATAATGAATTTGTATATATCAGATATACAATTTGAATATGTTTGAAGTGACTACTAGATTTATAATTAATTATATATGTATAATTAACCAGTGTACATATACCGTTAGAATTTTGTCATAACGTATACAAATTACAAATTACAAATTAAATGTATCAATAAATCATATATACAAAAAAAATTAATTGATAAACACAAATGAATCTATTTTATATGTACCATTGATGGACAAACAATATACAATTAAATGTATATACCCCAACCTAATAATTTGGAGGTGTGCAAAAACAAAGCGGATCGACAAATCAAATTTATTGTTATTGTGTTATTGGATTAATGATTTTGTTAAAAAGAAATATTGAATTATCAGTTCGATATTGATTTTTAATTTTTGATTATTAGTTAAATCGAAAACCCATTGAGATATAACCTTATCCGTACATCAATATTCACAATATATTAATCTTAATACTAGGGGTGCTTATGATTCGATTTGAATTGGTTATTGATTAAAACCAAAACTAAACCAATCTAATTGATTTTTCAAATTTCTAAAATTAAACCAAACCAAACCAAACGAAAAAAATAACCATTGATTTAGTTATTGTCGGTTTGGTTCAGTTTTTCTGGTTTACTCAATTTGAAAGTAATAATTTTTTAAACAACGTACGTATCTCGATAGACATAAACACCAAGTACATGAACAATTTACAGAAAAGCTAATGTCAGTTTGATCAAGCAATTAAGCAATATTAGAGTTATCATTATACGAACAAAACGATTCATTTAACAAAAAGTGTTACTATCTATGTGAAGTACAGTAGGTAAAGACAAAAAACAATTTTGATGGACTTGAATTTAAAATTATTATACTTGAGCTAAAGTGTTGGGCTTGAAACAATGGTAAAGTTAAAGACTTAAGTTGATTAAATTTAACAATATATTTTTAATTATGAATGTTATATAAATAATTATAACATTTATATATCTAATTTATCGGTTTGGCTTGGTTATTTTTGCGGTTATTTTTCAGTAAAATCAAAACCAAACCAAATAATATCGATTTTTAAATTTAAAAACCAAACCTAACCAAACTAAACCAAAGTGGAGGAAGAAGTTCAGACCAATTCCATTATCCGAAAGTAACAGTGGCTAATCAAAGCTAAAGCACTCGAATAAACATTACTTTATCTAATCCAACAATCAATCACTTGACCAAGAAAAACAACTGTGCCTTACTCACAAACTAGTTGTGCTTGGTTATGTAAATTCACAACATAAAAACAATCAAATAAGCTTTTAACCATGCTAAGATTCTCCAAAAATGTTGTCGTATCCATGGCAGACCCACCAAAAATACACTATCTAGAAGAACCAACACGTACCTGGCAACATTTATGGAAGATAATAAGAAAACGACTTCTGTAAGTTGGCAGAACTCGTATTCCCTCTGGTTTTATCTAAGACATCATAGCCATAGGGTCTTCCGCAAGAAAATCTGAAGTGCCATCTTCTATTTACATTAAGGCATATGTATACTGAAGACCTTAAACACTGCTTCACTCCTTTTTCATGGCTTAGCAGACCATAAAACACAAAGTTTCCATTGTACTTGGCACTCTTCAAACATATAATTTTGAGGTGCCTTATATAGCAGCTGCTTATGTCAATGATTATTTTAGCAGGTAGATATACTCTTATATATCGAGATTTCAAAGAAAAAATCACTTGTATGCATAGAGACGAGCAAATACTGGCAAAATACCCAATCTAACAGAAATGCACAGAGGGTTAGATCCAAGAAGCTGAGTACCAAATGGTCTAGTGGAGTTTAGCAGGTGATATTGACTTGTGTTCAAGTCAATAGAGATTATAGCTACTAGTGTAGATCGTGTGTATGTCAACCATATAAATCCATTCAACAAATAGGACACTGAACCTCTCAAGTAAACCAAAACGATGCAGACTCAACAGAATAGGATTCTCAAGCTTTATTGAAATTGTTCCCGAACCCATTGTTCAGGACCAAAAATTGATGCTGTGCTTATATATAGATGACGAATCCCCAAAAAGAGAGTCCTCATTAGCATCTGATTAAGTATCATGAACAAGGAGCAAATAAACTATAGCATGATTCACCAAGTAGGCACTGTTCTTGACTCTTGCACCTGCCGTAATTTCAGGAACTTTAACCAACTTAACAACAGCATTCAAGTTCTCCAAAAGATATAACATAAAAGTTCCACATTGACTGATCCTTTCAATAGTTCATCAGAGTAAAAAAGAACTTCAAAAAGCAAACAGACATGATATGCTAAAAATCAAACCTGATACTTGTGAGGAGACACCATGTAATTTCCATTAACTAATTCAAATCAATAGGTTCATAGCCAACCCCATGATAATCCAGCTAAATTTAATATCTGTTAGAGAACAACAAAAAAGAAACTAAAATACACAACGGAAAGCCTCATGCACTAAGCTCCCACTATGGAATTGGACCACA